ATCTTCAAACAATGGGATATTATTCAACCATATAAAGGAATGAAGTATTTGATGCATGCTACCACATCGATGACTTTGAAAACATTACGCTAAGTGAAAGAAACCAGTCACAAAAGGCCACGTATTGTATGGTTCCAGTTATATGAAATGTCCAGAATAGGCAAATCTGCAGAGACAGATTAACGATTGGCTAGGGCTCGGGAGGGGAGTGGAGTAGAAAATGAAGAATGACTGCTAATGGGTACGGTATTTCTTTTGGGAGGATAAAAATGTTCTAAAATTAGACTGTTGATGATTTTGCAACCATGTGAATATACCAAAAACATTTAACTGTGCATTTTAAATGGGTGATTGTATGGTTTTAAAATTATACTTCAATAAAGCTAAGTTTGGGTACTTTTATAAATCTTTATGCCAAGGCTGAAACTCAGACCAATGAACTCAATCTCCTGGGATTGAACCTATGCATCAATATTTTTTAAGAGTTCTCCAGGTGATTGCATTGTGCAGCCAAGGTTGAGAATCATTATGTTTGAATCAGCCCTAATCCAAATAAGTTTTTAATTTAAGAGACTCCAAAAGAGTTGAGATCCCATGTGGAAGGACTCCGGGAGGCTTCCTCAAACCATGATACTACAAGTGTGGTCCTGAGACCAGCAGCATCAATATCACCTGGGAAACTGTTAGAAATGCAGATGATTGGGCCCCATTCAGTTCAAGTACATCAGGATTCACAGTTTAACAAGCTCCCCAGATGATTCATGTGTACATTAAAGTTTGGGAAGCATTGCTTAGGAGCAGCGGTTCCCATGCTTGGCTGCACATTGGAATCACCTGAAGAGTCCAAAAGTACCGACGCCTGGGTTCCACCGCCAGCGATCTTACGGGTATGAGATGCAGCCTGTGCATCTGGGGTTTAAAAGCTTGCCAGGTGATTCTAATGTGCAGCAAAGTTTGAGAATGAGTACTGTAAAAAACAGGATACTTAATGGCAAATAAGATGGTTAATAAAATTTTCTTATTTTGTTTTTAACAGAAGGATAGAGGAACATGCATAAGAAAGGGAAGATTATTGATGTTAAAAATGTCCAGAGGAGTGAGGAAGGGGTGGGAGTGAGACAACAATGGAAAACCTTTGCCCCCCCCACCCACAAAAAAAAGGGAAAACAAAAAAAACCCACCACACACCAGGCATTTTCCTTCTAAATGCAAGAGGAGGATCTTTCATATGATTATTGGAGACTACTCAAATTTAAGTGGCCAAGAATCTGTGGGTTCTTAAGAGGGTTTTTAAATTACGCTGAAAACGTGGGTATTTACTGAACTTTCCTGTCTGAATTTATAAAAAGAAAGTTTATTAATGTGGTGGTGAACATTTCTTCCCAAGCTGTGTACCCATGTCCAGCTTCTTCGGTCTGGGGAAATTTTAACTCCTCAGTAGACAGTGGACCCTGCGCAGTGTCCGGGGCATGCTCTTCCTGTATATAGCATTCAGCCCTGAGGATTCTCCTCCCCAACGATCGGCCACATCTCGCTAATGATCATTGTCTCTGCCATTTACTGGTCTTTTCAAAATTATGACTCTAAAATATCTTGTAGGCAAAATTATGAGGCTTGCAGAGTTAGCTTTGAGATTTCTCAATTCCTCACCCACCCCTTCCCCTCCTTCCCACAAGCTCCATTTCTGTCCCATGCCCCCAGATTGTCTTCTCCAGGTGACTTGAACCCACCTTCTTGGTTGCAGTATCAGTACATTGTACCCTTGTCTGCACTGAAATTAACCATGCAGTCGAAACTAGTACCTTCTTGAGTTGATGGGTGTGTGTGTGGTGGGGTGGGGTGGGGTATAATTACTTAATTGAATCTGTGTTAATAACGTGTTAACTATTAATGGAAACCCACAGTCCCTCTCTACCTCCCCCTCAGGAAGTCCCTAATGGTGTTTGGTCATTGTTTCAGTCACTTGTCACATATTGTGTTTTCTTGGCCCATATCTCTAACCACATCC